CTGCACACTCTAGACCATGAAAAAAGCTCTAAAGCTTTCCTATGGGACCAGGGGGAGATGTGCCACGTTTTTACCATGGGACCAGGGGGAGATGTGCCATGTTTTTAGAGGGAAGAACTCAGTGCAAAGGTTGTCTGTTTACCCCATGGTATTATATGTTTGATATGTTTTCAATGAGATCTTAAATTTCTCAGAAATTCAACAAGCTGATCAATATAATTTATCTGGAAAATGAAATAATCTGCCAAGGAAATTTGCCAAAAGAATAGTGAAGGCCATCTGAACTTTCATCTCTCAAAAAGTCCCTCAAGCTGTATTTATTAAAGCAGCCTTACTGGCAAGCGAATAAACAAATAGATGGATGAACCAGAGTCAATATCTAACTGAGAATTCGGTGTATATTGTAGATGGTGGTTGAAATTAGCCTGGATGAACGGGCCGTTTATTATTGTGCAGGGACAGTGAACCCACCTATTAGGAAGAGATGAATTACATCTTCATATCACTTAGAAAAACGAGTGCCTTTAAGGGCCTGTAATCCCAGCACTCGGGAAGCAGTGAGTTCAAGACCAGCCTGGTCTACAAAGCAAGTTACAGGCCAGCCAGAGCTGTAACACAGAGAAACCCTGTCTCAAAAAACAAAACAACAAAGACTTTGAAGTCAGAAGTGGGACAAGCCTGTATACAGTTCCAGCCCCCTGGAGATAGAAGCAGGAGGATCAAGAGTTCAAGGCCAGTCTCAACTACAGAGAAAGTTCCAGGCCAGCACGTGCTACTCAAGACACTGTCTTAAAAACAAAATCAAACTAGAAGAAGGAGGGAGAGCCAAAATTTAAAGGTTTAATTTCTTAAATCTACCAAATTTAAACACAAAATAGAAAAAGTATGTAAAATCAAAATAAACTTTTCTAAGCATCTTGATGCTTACCTGCAGTCCTAGCACTTAAGAGGCTGACCATGCTCTATATCGAGACCATCTCAAAAGCAAAGAAAAATGTGAACTTAAAGCATATAATATAATAAGGAAACAATTATAACACACAAATGATAATGTTTAATAATATAGAGCTAATAAAAAATACAAATTAACAGGGAAAAGCAAAAATATAATAAAAATAAACAATCTAAACAGAATTCACGGAAGAAAAATAAAACTAGTAGTAGGAAACATGAGTCAGGAAAATGCAAATTGAAATGAGAAGCACTTTTGCATTTACTAATTTGGAAGCATGCATATGTGCCATGCACACCTGTGGTGGTCAGAGGACACCTGGCAGCAGCCATGTGCGCCCTGGGGATTGAACTGAGGTCATCAGGCTTGGCTACAAATGCCTTCACCCCCTAGACCAACTCACCAGCCCAAGAGACAGCTTTTAAATGCATACACTAGATCAGCCTTAAGCACGTTGATGTGAGGTGTCCATTAAAGTGGCCAGAATGTAGAACAGTAGTAACAATGCCAGTTACTGATGAGGGTGAAGACCCCAAGCAAGTTCTTAATTGGTGGTCTAGAAATATAAACTGACCCATCTTCTTTGGAGGGAGATTTGTTGTTATCTATAAAATTGAAAGTTTTAAGTTCAGTGAGCAACCCACCACACTGAACTTACTTCAGAATCACAGCTTTGTGAGCCCTGCTGTGTGTTATTGGGTAGTTAATTAAAAACAGTGTTTTATCAGTAGGCAGTATTATCATTCAATTAAAAATTGTGAGCCTTCCACTGTGCACAGTTGACCTCATGCTATGATTCTAAGGCAGTTGCCTCCTCCACCCCCTACGCTTTCAAGACTTTATTCTACTGAGTGAGAACCTCACCAAATGCCAGTCGAATGAGAGCTAGACTCATAGTATCATGATACATGCTATCTTTAGAGATACTTTTGAAGCCTAAGATTTGCTAAGTGGGTTTTTTGTTTGTTTGTTTGTTTGTTTGTTTGTTTGTTTGTTTTTGCCATTTTAGCAGATTCTCTCTTAGTGCTTAATGTAGGTTCCTGGCCATAGGCCCTAAGGTAAATGTAGAAGGAGGTGTGCCTGCTGTGAGCTCCCTAACTGTGGAGCTGCCTGGAGATGAGACAGTTGTCCCTGCAGCCAGCCTGGTTGAGAGCAAGTCCTAAAGACAAGGCCCAGCTGGCCAGGAAGGGACCAGGGTGGCTAACCGGACATCTGGAATAGAATCACCACTCCCCAGGAGTGTTCCTTTGAGGTGAAACTGAGCCACTGGTTTAGGGGTACCGGAGCTTATGTAGAGAGTTAGGGAGTGCCAGGATGTGCCCAAGCCCTAGACCAAGCTAAAGACCTAAGCATTGGAGGGCTGAGTCAGATGTGTGTGTTGAGATTCTCTCTCCATCAGCAAGGTGGACCACTGGACAGTAGAGTGCGTGGGGGAAGAAGGCTAGAAGCCAGGAGGCCACAGGGAGACTCTTGCCAAGATTCCGAGGAGGCAGTGTGTCATGGTGTGAGAGATATGTCATCAGGATATGAAAATCTGCTAATAGCCAAAAGGAGATTTGGTTGTATTTCTGTCATATTTTCTAAAGTTAAATCATGTTCTAAACACAATTTAAAAGTAGCATATGAAACATGCCTCTTCTGGCTTTGGTATTTGTTGTTTGTTTTGTTTTCCAGGCAGGGTTTTTCTGTGTAGCCCTGGCTGTCCTGCAACTCGGTCTGTCGACCAGACTGACCTCAAAAATCAGAGACCCACCTGTCTCATGTTCTGATATTTTTAACCTCACTCTGCTTATCCCTTTTTATTCACATTATAAAGAAAACATTCCTCCAGTTTTCCTCAGGAGTTTGGCTTCCATGTTCACCCCTTCCCCTCTACGCAGCCCAGTAGTTGTCTGGGGGCTTCTGTAAACTGTGTGACTGAGTCTGACCTTGTATTCAGTCATCCAATTGACATTATTTTCCTAAGGCTGCTTTTTGTTACTATCCTACCCACTTAACCCTTGTAAGTACTGTCCCCTCCTTTGCAAATGCAGCCTTTTCTGCCGGGTTATTTGCACATGCTGGCAAGTGGCCCCATGTCTCCTAAACACCCTCCTCTCTCCTCTCCAGCCCCGAAGAAGCAGCTTGTCCAGGGACTGGCTACCAGCAGAACAGCACTTAGTTAACTTTGTGTATATTAAACAGTACGCACGCAAGGATAAGTGGAAATGGAGCTTATGGAACCATCTGGTTCTGAGGGAAATGATAGCCCTGCATGAATGGGCAAATAGGTTAAGATAAATCATTAATAAAACACCCCTGGAGCATAATTCAGAGTGAGAGATTGGTGTCGCCACTCTGTGCACTGTGAGATTCTAGCTTATGTAGAACACACACACACACACACACACACACACACACCATGATCAGCCACTGATCTCGGATAAAAACTGGGAGAAACCAATAGCATTTTCAGTAAACAGGACCATCTTGTACCATGGCCATGAACCATGTTCAGTTCTTTTAAGTGGAGCACCCTCTTCCCAGGAAGTAACGGGTTTGCAGTTCTTACGTTTTATTCCCAGGCCACCGTTGACTTCACGAAGGGCGGTTGTAAGGAGGCGTCATTGCCTGCCTTAGGTGAAGAAGCCTTTGTCCTTCATTAATCCAATAGAAATACTGCTGGCCCGTTCAGCACCTTCCTGGGGCATACCGTAGTGCTTCCGCCATAACCCAAAGCACAAGAGGCTCTGAGGAGAGTCTGCCATCCTTCCTGGTGTCGCTGAGGGCAGCGCTTTTGCTAATGGAGTAACCACAGCAGCTATGGCAGAAGTGAGCATTTACCGAGCGCAGGTGCCACGCAAGCCACTTTGTATATGTTGGCTCATTTGGTAATCATGAGGCCAACCCTGTCATGCGGGATGTAGTCAAAGGACGCTGTGTGCTTTCTTTCTCGCTCCATTACAGAAATAGCCCATGCTGAATTACTTGATGCTCTAAATTTGAAATCGTGATTGGTTTCCGAAGCTAATCTGGTGCAGGAGGCATTAATGACTGTAGAAGAGGAGCTAATGGGGCATGGAGATGGGGTGGTGAAAACGCTCAGCTCAGTGGCAGAGTGCTCACTCAGCATGAGGCCTGGGCCCCATCCCCTGCATCGAAGAAAGCTAAAGATGAAACAGATTTTGGTTTGGTTTGGTTTTTTTGAGACAGGGTTTCTCTGTATAGCCCCAGTTGTCCTGGAACTCGCTCTGTAGACCAGGCTGGCCTCCATCTCACGGAGATCCACCTGTCCCTGCCTCCCGAGTGCTGGGATTAAAGGTGTGCATTACCACCTCCCGGTGAAAACCTAGCAAATGAAAAATCATTGTGTTTATGGTTAGTGTACAGAATGTGATAGGAAAAGCGTTGTTCAAGGAATATGGAGGAAATTGACCACTCCTGTTTTCCTTCCTCTGCTTTCTCAGATACATCCCACCACTGATCTGGGGGAAAAGTGGACATATCCAGACAGCCTTGTACGGGAAGATGGGAAGGGTGAGATCACCACACCCTTACGGGCACCGCAAGTTCATCACCATGTCAGACGGAGCCACTTCTACATTCGATCTCTTCGAGCCCTTGGCGGAGCACTGTGTTGGAGGTGAGCTAGTTTCAGGTCGTGGTGTTGGGCCCTAGAGAGAGGGGACACCCATCAGTGGGGAGCAGTGTGTAAATGCCTGTGCCACACACTGTCCCCTTGCATTCGGGGGGCGGGGCATGTCATCACCCCAATGGCCTGCAGTTTAACGTGTGCTTGCTAGTTCACATGTAGCAGGAGTCAGTACGGAATTATGATCCCCTTGTGAAATGCTGAAGCCAATTTTTATGATTTATTTAATCTCATTTTATGTTCATTAGTGTTTTGCTTGCTTATATGTCAGATCCTCTGGAACTGAAGTTACAGAGAGTTGTGAGTGCTGGGAATTGAACCCAAGTCTCCTGGAAGAGCAGCCAGTACCCTTAGCTGAAGAACCATCCTTCCAGTCCTTGCTGTTTTTTAAATTGAGAGTTATTTCTTTTGTTTGGTTTTGGTTTTCGAGACAGGGTCTTACTATGTAGCCTTACACTCATGATCCTTCTACCCGAACATCCCTAGAGGGAGGAAGGATTACCCATAATCTCCCATATAATCCCACAACCCCAATCCTATTAATGTCAGTGTTCAGATATTAAATAGATGTATAAGGATCTCTTTCTCCATCTTGGTAGATGACGTCACCATGGTCATCTGTCCTGGAATTGCCAATCACAGCGAGAAGCAGTATATCCGAACCTTTGTTGACTATGCCCAGAAAAATGGCTACCGGTGCGCAGTGCTAAACCACCTGGGAGCCCTACCCAACATTGAGCTGACCTCCCCACGCATGTTCACCTACGGTAAGCACGGGACGTGACCAAGGGGAGCCTCTCTCCTATCCCTTTTCCATTCTTACTGAAAGTGCCAAACTGCTTCTGCCTCCTGCCTTGTGTTGTAGGGGTAGAGCTTGTGAACATCCACAAGAGATGATGGGGCACACTTAGTACAGCCGCCAATTTGTGCTGGCATTTCTGATGCTGTGCCTTGAGCAGCTTTGGAGACGGGCAGCCATCCCAGCTCCTAGAGGTTCATAAGGGAAGGTCTTGCCCAGGGTCCTTGACTGGTCTGAGAGTGTCACTGGGAGCCAGGGAGATCATGTTCATAACTGGGTTTAACACCGTTCACTCTGCCATCCTGACACCTGTTCCTCCATATTCCACCGGGCAGGCAAAGATGTAGTAAGGTGTATTAGTGTCTGCCAAAGGGAATGTGCCCACCAGCAGCTTGCTGGATTCTCAGATTCCTTGAAGACAGGAATAGGCTGTCGACTTTACACAAATGCATGTGTGTGTGTGTGTGTGTGCGTGCGTGTGTGTGTTTGAGACAGGGTTTCTCTATGTAACAACTTTGGCTGTCCTGAACATACTTTGTAGACCAGGCTAGCCTTGAACTCACAGAGATCTGCTTGCCTCTGCCTCCCCAGTACTGGGACTAAAGGCGTGCGCCACCACACCGGGCTGCACAAATACTTCTTAACTTTAATAGAAATCTCATTACCCAAAGTTCTCACTTCTGAACTGTTTCTCCTATTTTGTTTGTTTGTTTGCTTTTTCTGTTTTTGAGGCAGGGTCTTACTTGAAAGCACAAGCTGTTCTAGAACTTACACTATCATCCAGGCTGACTTGGAACTTGCAGTGATCCTCCTGCCTCTCCCTCATAAATGCTAGGATTACAGGTGTGCTCCAGCATGCCCAGCCCTGTTCACTCTTGATTCGCATTGACTCTCTCTTCAGATTAGATATGCACACATAAATAAGAAACACATGCAAAGGCGCATCTATATGATCACATTTGGGACGTTTATCAGCAAACAAACTATAACATGTTGTAGATCCATAATCTTGCCGTACCGGGAGTTTCTAGTCGTTCGCTCTCCCCTTCTGTCTTTATCCATGTTTACATATTTTCATTTAGTTGCAGACAGTTTTTATACTAATAGTAACTTAGTTTATAGTCACCTTAAAGCTGTGTAGTTATTGTATTGAATGTTTTTAAGAGCTTCATTTCTGTTTAGTTATAGTCATAGGGTATATAGGTTTTCAGTAGTCTAAATAATGTTGCTGTGAATACCGTGTTCATAGTTTGTGGTTTTTTCCCCTTTGGTCCTGGGGCCTGAACCCATGTCTCCCACGGGTTGACAAGCAGCCTGTCACTAGGCTGTCACTGCAGCTCTTTCAGGGGCCCCTGCGTTGCCCAGGCTGACTCTAAACTTGATCTGTAGCCAAGTGGGCCTTGAACATGCCATCCTCCCTTCTCAGCCTCCTAAGCCATCTGAAACAGCCAACCTGGCTTTTTCATCTCATTAATGACATCTTAGAAGTAGATTTTTGATAGAATTATGTGTTGAGTGAGGACCCTTTGTTTGTCCCAGCCACCGGCTAGCTTACACCTGAAATAATCACACAGAAACTGTATTCATTTAAACACTGCCTGGCCCATTAGCTCTAACTTCTTATTGGCTTAATCTTACATCTTAATTTAACCCATTTCTGTTAATCTGTGTATCACCACATGCCAGTGGCTTACCGGGAAAGATTCAGCATGTCTGACTCTGGCAACTCCATGGCGGCTCTCTGATTCTACTTCCTTCCTCCCAGAATTCAGTTCTGTCTTCTCCGCCTACCTAAGTTCTGCCCTATCAGGCCAAGCAGTTTCTTTATTGATTAACCAATGAAAGCAACACAAAAACAGAAGGACCTCCTACACAATTATGCAGCTAGCATTCTTCCTAGGTATTTGGGCATATTGTCATGTCTTCTATGGGGTCATGTGCACTGCCACTGGTAACAGGTAAAGGTTCACTCTCAAGTGGGTAAAGGAAGGAGAATGTGGCTTTAGGAAAGTATAAACACATATGTGTGTTTTGTGGCAGGCATAGGACAGCGCTGGGAATGGCTCCGAGTCCATTCCCACCTTTGCACTCACCCCGTAACTCAGACACCCCTTTTACAGGCTCTTCTGCTCAACAGCCTGGTCAGGGGTTTGAATTAGGGATGAACATCGTTTTACACTAACCCAGGTGCATGGGGAATGTGACACACGGAGGAAGAATTGGCTTTAAAAAGCTGAACTGGGCAACTTTGAACGCAGACGCAAACTGTAGGGGTGATAATAAGATCCTGGATTGGGCGGAAAGCCATCTGGGTAAGTAGAAGATAGTGACACACGGCTCAGCTGCAAGGCTCAGCAGAGATTCAGAAACACCGTCTAACAGCAAGGACACTAACACAAATTAGAATTGCCAATGAGGAGCCTGGGCATGTAGCTCAGTCGGGGTAGCGCTTACCTCGCACGTGAGTTCAGTCCTCAACTCTGCATAACCCAGATGTAGTCTTACATGAGTATCTGGAGACAGAGGCAGGGAGTCAGGAGTTCAAGGTCACCCTTGACTATATAGAAGTTAGGATCCTGCCAAAAAGAAGAGTAGAAGCCACTGCCACTGCCACCAGTGAAGACACCTACCCCTAGTCTGTGTACTGGTCTCAAGTAGATAGAATCCCCTTAATGTCAAGCACAGCAAACCCAGAGACAAACAACTTTGGGTGGAAAAACTGAAGTACGCAGGAGAGCCCCTTAGTCAGGTGTGTCAAGCCCGTAAGTAGGAGAGCTGAGACGGGAGTCTAGATCCAGCTGTTGTCCTTCAGAGCCATCTCACAGCTGGCAGGGCATCCCAGTCCCTGAGAATCCTAGAGTACAAGCTGAGAAGGAACAGAGCGGGCTCCGGGTGGGGTGTGTTCTCAGTGAAGACCCCAGGTAGGAGACTGGGGTCCTGGGTCAGACCCTCCAATCCAGCCACGGCTGGCAAGGTGGCCCCACTGAGCCTCAGTCCCCGATTCTTCGGCAACATCATTCCTGAGACTCTAGTCCAGAAAGACAGGTGACCTAGAAGAGATTTGACTTTTGTGGCTGGGCTGTTTCTTTGTTTTTAGCTCTTGATCTGCATCTTTTAATAGGGTTGAGGTCAAACAAAGATGACTTTGAAGAGATGTAAAAATCTAGAATTCAGATAGCTTATTGGAATCTCACATACCCATGGTGGCGTGCTAGATGGAGACCGGTACTTTCTCAGCAGCTGTTTTTAGCTAAACATTGATTTTTGATAAGTGAATCCTTGGACTGGTGAGCAAGGAGTGCTTGTAATGAAAGTGGCCTGATACATTATATCAAAGCCTAGTTTTGTTCCTTTTGACAGGGACACTGAGACAGCTTAGCAGTTAATATGCTGGAAGTGGGGAATAAAAAAGCCAGTTAATCACACTATAAATCACACGTATTACTTTCATACCTCAGCACAAATATCTCTGCAGAGTTTTATATCTATAGCAAGTCATTGTTTGTTTTACGTCAGTGCTGCGCTTGATGTGGCCTGGGGTTTGACGCCGTCAACCCTGACTCACTGCTCCTTCAGGGTGTGCTTTGGTCACCCACACTTTTCCTTTCAGCTGAACTTTTGAAGAATTTAGTCAAATTCCACCTTGAATTTCTGCAGGAGACGAGATAGACTAACTGATCCATGTCCCCAACATCCAGCAGTTCCGAAGCAGAGATGTATTTCTGCTCACCCTACATATTCCTGGCATAACCTAGGGCCCTGGGTTTCCATCACTGCCGTCTTTGTACAAAGGCCCAGGTTCTAAGAGCAGCCACCAGCTGGAACATGACCAGCTTCACAGGGCACAGCGAGAGCCTGGCTCTAGAAGCATCTACCTAGAAATGATAGAGATCACTCCTGGCCATAATTTCTTAGCCAAAGTACAGAACACTCCCAAGCTTAACTTCAGTGGAGTTAAAGAATGGAAAGTAGATAATACCCAACTCTTAGCACAGCCCTACCACAATTTTTCTTCAGAACTGTGATTTATATATTAACTTAGAAGACTTTGTATGGGCAGTTTATACTTTCTTCTTTCAGGAACTGGGTGGTTATTAATCTTCATAGAGGACTTCTAGCCCTCTGTAGAAGTCAGTGGTCATACAACTGATTCATTGGTAGACTTCCCCTTGGGAAAATTTCAAAGATCTTGTTGTGTTCATTGTAGAAACTTCCAGAGCAGGGAGAGAGGACAGTTGAGTGAACTCAGGATAAACCCCAGGATCCTAGCGCCTGTTTCAAGACTCTTGCAGCTCATAACCAGTCTTAACCAGCCTTGTTCTTTCTGTCAGCCACCCCTTCCCACATCCTCTCTCAAAGGTTATTTGGAAACAAGTCCCAATCAGCTGGGCCTCTCGTCTGTCACGGCTTCAGTGTGTTGTGCTATGACACGCTAGGAACTATTTTAACTTGTTTGGACTACAGCAGTGCACCGTCTGGTGGCTCATCCAGCAGAAATGTATTTGCCCACAATGACAGAAGCAAGAGTCTGGATCTCCGAGCTCTCTGTGTGTCCCGTAGATGGCCCCCATCTGTGCTTCTGTCGGGTACTTCTCAGTGTCCTAACGTCGTCTTAAAGGACATCACCTGTACGTATCAGAGCCTGCCCTAACCACCTCTTTTTAGCGTAATTATACCTCTGAACACAGTGGCATTCTGAGGGACCAGCGATTAGAGCTTCTGTATATGGATCTGGGGAGACAGCATTGATCTCGTAGCCTAAACACGAGCACGATACAGCATCTTAGCTAAAACAGCACCGCTTGAGTTCCCAAAGAGCAGTTCATTTCTCCCAGCTGTCTTCCTTCTGCTCTCCTTTTACTGCGGGTTGGTCAGTTTAGAACCCATATCAGGTCCATATGTTACAAAATTGGCTGGTGTGTTTCTTAGACCTTTTGAATCACCTTCCCTCACTTTTGCCAGATTCCT